GTCCGAGAAGTCGTTCCCCGTTGTTGTTCATAATGTCGCGTCCGTACGCGCCCATAATCTTGGCATCGCAGCATCCGTCTCGCCTCCTGCCAGTACGTGCGTTGGCGTCCATTAGTACCACGAGATGGTCACGGCTATGGACCTCCCGGATCTCTGCGTCGAGAGCAGTCCAGAAGGAGTCCTTGGCATTGACATCACCGCCCGCGGTGTTGCGGGCAGTTTCCGTAGGGGCGTACCCCACCTAGGCCTGTCCTCCATCGGCCGTTTTGCTTGAATGACGCAGAATAAGAAGGTGGAATTACTTGAAATTAGTATAGAAATAAAGTTTGTGTATCTAAATCGAAAATAAAACGGCCGATGGAGGACAGGCCTAACCCCACCACGAAAGTTACTCCGCAGGTGCGGTCAATTTGCAGGCGCACCTTCATCAGCCTCGGGCTAGTGCACTCCACCGTCCTACCTCCCTCGCCTACGCTGTCCCACATGGTCTCCTTAATCGCTATGCCCACACCGTGCACGCCCCTCAAGTGTGCCGATGGGAACCCAGTCGGAACGCGTGGTACTGGGAAGGTGTTAGGCATCGATCTGAAGCTCGACCGGGATTGGGAGACCCAGGAGGGGGAGTTTGTGGCGTTTCTACAAGGAAACGAAAGCATGTCACCCATATGGCAACGGCGAGGGTCAAGTGACAAACGGTACACCTAATCTGAGGGCCCTTCACCACCCAACCCCAGTAACGTATAGGATTTAGTCTAGGATGTATTAGGAAGAAATGAACGGCGTGGTTCCAATATTTTTAAAAGGGAGTTGAGGAAGGTGATGGCCGTACATATGCGAGAAAAGTCAGGGGACAGGATTGNGAGGACGGCGCGACTGAGTATAAACGGGAAGTCCATGAGCTGGAGCTTGTTTGTGAGCAATAACATCCTCGGAGCTTGGCAGGCAGCGCAACTCCAACTACTGCTGTAACTGCAGGGGGTATCAAACAGCTGGGTTATTACCAAATGGCAGCAGTGCTACCCGCGCGCCGTGTGCCGTGTGACCATATTGCGATATCCTCGTCCTCGCACCCTCCCCATCCATGTACTCGTACATACATGAAGATGGCTACTGTTGTAGACTACACCACATTTGTCACGGTACTACATACACACTCGAAGATGATGATGATGATGCGTAATAATTTGCACAGCAGTCCGCCGTGGTCAAGTCCACCGTGGGCTCACGTACTGTTTGCCCGTGCGCGTCATATGTGTGCATGTGTTCAATATCTTATCCCTTCCACCGCCGAGCCTTACTCAGTCTACATCTTGTCCCTTGCAGCATCCCCGTATGTGCGTTGCTTGGTGAGAGAAATTTAGTCGAACACGAACAAGATGACAACTATAGGTCCTACAGCAGCTGTACTTCTTATGTTGTACATGCATGTCATGTGTACAAAGGGCAACTAACCTGCCTGGTGGTTGAAGCGGGTGACACAAAGCATGTAATAACCGCGTGCGTTCTCGTACATCGTACGTTTCTTCGTCCATTTTTACATCTATCTGAGTCAGCTGAGCGGCGGGAAAGTACAACTGCATGCATGCTTGCATGTTTGGATGGATAACGACACCCCATATGCATGCACGTGTACTGCTGTAGTAAAGACAAACTACAACATGCCCCAAATATTCAAAGTTTGGTGAGCGCGGGCGATCGACGAAGATTGGAAAACGAAACACTCAACTCAGCAACAAATCAATTCAATTCAACTCGGTTTGGAGTCTATTGACGGGTATTTCCCTACTCCATCCTGCTCTTCCTGTACATTGTACCAGCCAGTGTAGTACCAGCCAGTGTTCATTTCTTTTTCTCGCACGTCTATGATCTGTGGGGAGTTGTCTTATCCTCTCTGTCATATACTATATATAGATGGTGTGTGGCGACGACGGAAGGTATCCGCATAATTAATGGGCACGTAATGGAGACCGTCCGACTTATGTGATGTACATCAGGTCGTATGTTCCAGGTCGTATGCATCACATGGTATGCACAGAAACCCTCGCGAAAGGGCCCTTAAAAAAACTAAAAAACAGGGTTGGTTGTCGTGTCGGCCACCACCAGCAGTACGGCCACCCAAGGAAAACGCCATTACTTTCTGGGGCTGTCCATTTCTCCCGTGTTTTTTTTTCCCCAACGTTGGGTGCACCCATTCACCGGTGTGGAAAATGACGGATTGGGTCCGGCACTCATACTCATCGCGCGGCACACGTTCGGGTGCCATCTCAATCCGAAAAAATGCCGAAATGTTTTTCGATGCCCCCCGTGTCCCCCACTCTCGGGTGGGGACGCGCCCGTTTCCAACGTGTTCCGGTCGACGTTACCCAGAAAAACAGTAGTCTTCGTGCCCACCGACCATCTGGACGGGTCGGGCACGCAAAAATCGCACACCCTGCTCTCGTGCGGGCGCCTGTCGCGTGAGTCAGTCGTGCGTGCCAAATTCCGGTTGGTACTCCGATTGGTAGCGTACGCGACTTTGGTTAGGGGCAGGATAACAAGACAGGAAACGCCATGTTTCGATTATTTCGCCCAAGTTTCTCGGTAGCGAAGCTTGACTATCTGTTTGTGCCCCTCAGGTTGGTGATCAACCATCCAAACACGCACCCAAGTCCTCCGGGCACCCAAGTCCTCCGGGAGCACACCAACCACGCCTTGGTCGGCAATAATTTTTCCAAGCCGACTTCACCTCACGCTGCCCTGGTGCACGCCGTCGCTCAATGGGCACAAGAGTCGGTTTCGACATGAGTTCGTGTTTTTTTTTCCCGTGGAAATCTTTGCCCTCGCACTCTGCATACGCACACCATGGCCCAGATAACGAAAAACAAACGCGGCGACCAGCGCCCTTGGGCAAAACCACTGCTCGATTGTAGTTGTCATTGAGTTGTCACGACCGACGGCCACCAGCAGTACGGCCACCCAAGGAAAACGCCATTGCTCTTTAGGCTGTCCATATCTCCCATGTTTTTTTTTCCCCAACGTTGGGTACACCCATTCACCGGTGTGAAAAACGACGGATTGGGCCCGGCACTCGTAGTCATCACGCGGCACGCGTTCGGGTGCCATCTCAATCCGAAAAAATGCCGAAATGTTTTTCGATGCCCCCCGTGTCCCCCACTCTCGGGTGGGGACGCGCCCGTTTCCAACGTGTTCCGGTCGACGTTACCCAGAAAAACAGTAGTCTTCGTGCCCACCGACCATCTGGACGGGTCGGGCACGCAAAAATCGCACACCCTGCTCTCGTGCGGGCGCCTGTTGCGTGAGTCAGTCGTGCGTGCCAAATTCCGATTGGTACTCCGATTGGTACCGTACGCGACTTTGGTTAGGGGCAGGATAACAAGACAGGAAACGCCATGTTTCGATTATTTCGCCCAAGTTTCTCGGTAGCGAAGCTTGACTATCTGTTTGTGCCCCTCAGGTTGGTGATCAACCATCCAAACACGCACCCAAGTCCTCCGGGCACCCAAGTCCTCCGGGAGCACACCAACCACGCCTTGGTCGGCAATAATTTTTCCAAGCCGACTTCACCTCACGCTGCCCTGGTGCACGCCGTCGCTCAATGGGCACAAGAGTCGGTTTCGACATGAGTTCGTGTTTTTTTTTCCCGTGGAAATCTTTGCCCTCGCACTCTGCATACGCACACCATGGCCCAGATGACGAAAAACAAACGCGGCGACCAGCGCCCTTGGGCAAAACCACTGCTCCATTGTAGTTGTCATTGAGTTGTCACGACCGACGGCCACCAGCAGTACGGCCACCCAAGGAAAACGCCATTGCTCTTTAGGCTGTCCATTTCTCCCATGTTTTTTTTTCCCCAACGTTGGGTACACCCATTCATCGGTGTGGAAAATGACGGATTGGGCCCGGCACTCATACTCATCACGCGGCACGCGTTCGGGTGCCATCTCAATCCGAAAGAATGCCGAAACGTTTTTCGATGCCCCCCGTGTCCCCCACTCGCGGGTGGGGACGCGCCCGTTTCCAACGTGTTCCGGTCGACGCTACCCAAAAAAACAGTTGTCTTCGTGCCCACCGACTACTTGGACGAGTCGAGCAAGCAAAGATCTTGGCTTATTGTGGATGTCCAACCTGAGTTGGGTACCCTTACCGCGCATTTCCGACAATCACTACAACGCCGGTGTTTGTTGACCACGTCATTTTTTTTCACGTCATGAGTGCAAACGTTTTGTTTCACACCTTTTCGAGTGCAAATGTCCCGCTGTATCACCAACGACAACCCTGAAGAATATATCATGTGAACATACGCACACCAGAAGCGTTGTGGCCTAGCCCCTGGTTTAGGCCCGCTTCACAGTACAATCCAGCATGCACGCGAAACAGGAGCCACGGGCAGAGGAGGACAAGAATGCTCGAAAATTTCAGCTCCTAAGAAGCACTCTCGCTGCACCATGCATCGCTGCGTCGGGGACCGACACGCACACCACGGGCCCAACAAGGCGAAACAACACCAGACCATCTCAAACTGAATCTACAATTGTACACAACGGGCGTGTGCCCTGAAAGACGTCATTGGATCACCACCATGTGCATCACCCACCCTAAACACGGTTGAAATCCGCAAACACACGAACCGACTGTGGAGTACACGCTAAGCGGAAAGTGGTGGCACTAGCAAGGGTTTGGATGTCGGTGGTCAACCCGTCAACAAACATAATTNGAAAGACGTCATTGGATCACCACCATGTGCATCACCCACCCTAAACACGGTTGAAATCCGCAAACACACGAACCGACTGTGGAGTACACGCTAAGCGGAAAGTGGTGGCACTAGCAAGGGTTTGGATGTCGGTGGTCAACCCGTCAACAAACATAATTCATTCCAATACCTCGCATATGCACCTTGCACGTCCACCAAAGCACTACGTCCCACGCGACAAATTACAAAACGCCTGCCCGGCCGAACTATCAATCCGATGCCTTTCTGACTTTCGCCCACTTCCAACTCTTCAGGCACAATCCCAACGTGAACAATACTCTACCATGTTTTCCCCCATTCTGCAATACTCAAGCGGTCGACCCGAGCACCGTAGCAAGCATGACAATGTCCACCCTCCCCAGGCAGTCGAATACGCGCATGACGGGCTTCCCGCAAAAGCGCCTGCCGCACCTCCACAGGGCGGCTTCACAGCCAGCAAAGCTATCTTNATACAAGCTGGTTCAGGGAAATGGATACAAGAAGATTCAACAGCAAAACTTCACGCCGTTTTTAGGAGTTAGACTCTGAAACTTTGCACACATGTACCTTGGGTCAATACACAACGCTGTGTGGAGGGGTCTTTTTTTTTTTCCTGTCGCCGGATATCCGGGGTCCTAGAGATTTCGGGGTCGTGTGCGGCTCCTGGGACCCCGAATAACTGGCGACCATGGAAGGAAATGAAAAAGGCCCCGCCACACAGCGTTTCGTATTGACCCAAGGTACATGTGTGCAAAGTTTCAGAGTCTAACTCATAAAAACGGTGTGAAGTTTTCAGCTCTTGTGCCATGAAGTATTTCGCATCCTGGATTTCCCCAAACTACTTGATTAAAGAATGAAACGGCGAAATTCAGGTTCTTTTGGCGCCCAAACAACCCCATTTCATCAGTTTATCGAATTGGTTCATGAAAATTCATAGACACGGTCTTTGGAATATGTAGGCAAGGTAGAATCAAGAAAAAAAAAAATCACATATTGGGACAGATTTTTGGGGTCCCGCAAAAGGGGCTATCTCCAACGCAGTTTGGCCCACCGACGGCAAGTCATAAATCGACCATTTTTCGACCGTATTAGGCCAGTTTATGGAAGATGTCGACGAAACTCCATGCGAAGCTTCATTGCACTGTAACGGTGTCGTTGGTTAGAGAAAGGATCACAAACAGCCATGTTACCGGCATGTTGGGTTCTGCAAGAGAATCTACCTACTTTTTAGACGGAAACACCGACCGTGCTGCCCCGAAGAGAGATTTTTCATCATCGCAGCGCGGCCTTGTGCCAGCTTAACTGGGTGATAAAACACTGTTGATTCATGCACCGAGAACGCAACTATGCCAGCATGCATGGACCGGTTTGCTGAGGGTCACACCGCACCGAACGAATAACATNTCTGTGCAACCAATGCACTGGGCTATAGGAACTGTTCCAAAATAATCAAAGACATATCAACCGGTTATCCGGGGTTGCGTGCACGTCGCATGGAGAAGAAAGGTCCGGCGAGTGCTTGTAGTCGTTCATACTCCGCCTTGCACTCGAGGGCTGCTGCCTTGTCCTTCTCGACTTGTTGACGGGCAGCTGCGGCTTCGACGGCGAGCCTTGAAGCCTCGTCCAACGCCGCGGCCGTTGCGTGTGCGGCGAGAACCTCCGGAGGGTCGGCCACGCTGATGTCGCTCGTAGGTGCATCAATCACCGGGGGTGGCTGCTCGTGAGGCTCCCGCAGCGTGACGTGTTGCCCCTTCGTTAGCGTGGAGAACATAGCCACGGCCTGTGCGTCCATTGCAGCANATTGCGTGCTGCTGCTGTATGCCCTGGTGCGTTCAATAAAATAGAGACAGTTTGTAAACACAAGTTCGGATCTGGCGTGTACAACCACTATGTACTTCTTGTATGTACACTTGCGTGCTGCTGAGCACTGCTGTGTTCTATCAGAAGCACAAATCAAAGATGGGTTGCACAATACACTATACTATTTTGTATCAATACGAGTAGTACTGCACTGCTGCATGCTGCACAACTCGTCTACTGTTCAAGATTGTCCCATGCAAACAACGGGATTCATGTCGAGGTTCTCCGGTGCATA